ATTTGCTTAATTTTTAGTATATTTTATAATATACACATATTAAGAATCCTATTATAAGATATTACAAAGTTTAGAAGTATTCTCGTTAAGCCTAGTTTGTTTTTAGCTATTATCATATATAGTTGCTAAATCTTTTTATATTTATCTTTAGTCAAAAAGATATTCTATAGCATATATTCTAGCTTTAGTATTAGGTATATGTTGTTTATATATAATATTTGGCTTGTCAAGACTATTTTTTTCTGATTATATTAGCAAAAAATCTTACTATTTGCTTAGTTTTAGATACAATCTGTTTTTTGCTAACTTTTTGTCCTATTCAAATTCCTAGAAATCTAACTGCTTCTTTTTCCTTAGTTGTATAGATCTTTTGTTTGTCTACTATAATTTTGTATTCATTTTTCTATACTCTGGAGTTTATTACAATAAGCTTAAATTTAGATAGATTTATCTGAATATCATTAATTTTAAAAAACTCTTCTGCAATTTGAATAATTTTTTCAAGCTGTTCTTTAGAATTTCTATTCATATGGTATCATCTATAAAGGCAACTATAGCTTGTCTTATTTTTTTGGTTTTCATCTTATTTCTTTCAAGATTTTCTCTTCAAGAAACTTCTATTTTATATCTGAGCAGAAAATTTCTCTTGATTTTAGTTAGTAGAAAATTTTACGTGTGCTACGTGTTTATTTACATGAACCACATTTATAACTCGTTTATAATTTATTTTATATCATTTAAAATAAATTATTTCGTGATTATTTTTCTGATTTTATATAATATATACGCATATAAGTTATTTTTACTAATACTTTAAATTAGATAAAGTTCTAATGTATCAATTTTTTCGAGAGAAAATATTCAATTCTTCAAAATTTTAGATTAGAGAGGCTTTAGTTATATTTATTAAAGTATTAAGCATTAACAAAATATATAATTTATTATGAATTTGATTTAATAAATAATTTTTTGTTTTATTCTATCTAAATTATATAATAACAAATGCTTCCGCCAAATTATGAGAACTGAATTGAAATTATTTGTGAATTAAATAAAATTCATAATTACTGAGAAAGTATCGCAAAATGAGTAGTTTACCTATCTATTAAGAGGACAATGATACAAAATTTAATTTTCGAAAAAAAAGTTATAATTTATTGGGCAATAATTTATTGAATAATCTATTTTGAATTTTGATCTATAAATTACATTAAAATTTATATTAAGAATTTATTATTATTATTATTATTAAAACGCTGATAAGTGTACTTTATTATTTAATTTTAAAATTATTATTATAAATTAAAGTTCACTTGTATTTGTCATTTAAAACTTTAATTGCTAATACAAACATAGATTCTTTAAGGTAAGAAATATAAAAGACATGAAATCAAAAATGAAACCAAAAGAAATCAAAAACATAAAATTCACATATATTTAGTAAGAAATACTTAAAAAACTCTCTAATTTGTTTATGCTTAACTGATAAGTGTAACGTCTGAGACTGAATTTAAATAGAGTTTAAAAATTAAATGGTCGGTCGGTCCTCGAACAATTTTAAATATAGATTATACAATTAATAAAAAAATTTTTATATATTTTATAATACTATTTTGAGAAACTTATATACTAAGTAAAATTAAAGCTTTTATAAATATTTTAATAATATTAGTTAAATCTATTTAAATCTAATAACTTTTATACTGTTATCAAATAAACTTTAGCATATTTTTTAATTATTATTATATTATATTACTTTATATATTTAATGTCTTTTTGTCTAATGACAGATTTTTTTTAAATTATAATTTATAAAATTAACCAATTAGATTGCTTTAAATTATATGTCTATTTGCACATGACTTAATCAGACACCATTAGACAATTAGATATCTTTTGTGTCTATTGGCTTGTCTATTGTCTATTCACAACCCTGGTTTAGGGTTGTTGTAACTTACAGTTTTTTACAAATTGACGTAAGTTTCCTTTTGGCTGACGTAAGTTGTACTGTACTTAAGTTACCTTTTTTCCTTTTTCGGAATATTTCGGATTACTCTACAAAGAATCCAACTAAACGTTCAAAGAAAGTGACCCTAGTTATTATATGAACATTGGTATTTTAATTACAACGAATAAAAGAAACTAATTTATTTTAAAGAATATTCTTGTTAATATAGCTATTATATCTTACAGTGAAACCGGATAATTTAAATAGACCTAAAAAGGGTTATTCTTTATTACTATATTGATATAGTTATTATATCTTACAGTGAAACCGGGTAATTTAAAAAAAATAAATACACCTAAAAAGGGTTATTCTTTACTACTATATTGTCCTTATAATAAAGTTGTAACAATATCATTACAATGAATTGTGAAAACTTTTTTTAAAAAAACTAATGACTTTTGGATTAAATGTTTTATTTCTAAACATTTTTACGAAAAAAAAAAACTATTAACTTGGATTAGATAAAACCCTTTCAACATTATTATGTCTTTTTACTAATCTAATATTATACTCTTCAGGCCATACAGTAATATTAAAATGTAATTTGTCTAAATTAATTGTTGGTTTACCATCTTCACTAGCATTTTCTATTTTGAAACACCAGAGAAGACGAGAGACTCCTAAGAAAAGTTCTCGCTCAGCCTATATAAGATTATTAATGAAAAAAAGCTAATTTTTTAAATTATTAATTTAAAAAATTAATTTAAATCAAATATTATACATACCATATGAACTCCAGTGCAAAACCTTCTTCCAGCTCCAAATCCAAAATGGTCTCTATTTTCATAATTTCCATTTGCTAAAACTGCGCTGCTTTCTGTAAATCCTAAAAATCTTTCAGGATTAAACGTTTTAGGATTTTCATATCTTTTCTCATCCATATGAATTCCGTATTGGTTTAAAATCACAGTAGAATTTGCAGGAATATGATATCCATTATATTCATCATCCTCTTCAATACAATGAGGTACACCAAGATAAATTGGGGCACAATATCTTTGACCTTCTTTAATTATTGCACGAATATAAGGAAGATTTAGTTCATCAGAAATATTTGGTAAACGAGATTGACCAATTACTTGATCAAGTTCTTGATGAGCTTTATATTGAACTTCGGGATTATTAGCTAAAGCAGCAGTAATCCATGTTAAACTTGCTGAAATTGTATCCTAAGAATTTAAAAAAAAATATCAGTAAAATTATTTAACTTATTTATAAAAAAATTTATACAGTGTATTTATTATCATGCTTACAGTTCCAGCAGCAAATATCGTATCAAGTATATAAATAACATCTAACTCATCAAGGATTCCTTCATCCATTTTATTAAGTAAATCTCTAATAATACAAGGCTTTTTTTCTGTATCATCCTTAACTTCTTTGATCATTTTTATGATCATAGATTCAATTTTTGTTCTACTATCTATTATTTTTTTTTGTAAACCAGTTTTTGTAAACCATTTAAATATTGGAAAAAATTCTGACAATCTATTCATTAATTTAGCGGCTTCGATATGTTCTTCCATATTAATTTCAAATTCTTTATAAAATTGGTCATTGACACTTTCAGTGCGTTTGTTTAAGCATAATAAGGTTATAATGTTTAAACTTGTGAGTTGAAAATTATACTTAGGATAAAATCCATCTTTTGTATTTGTCGAGACTTGACAAAGGTTTTGCATAAGAATACGAAATTCATTATCAAGTAAATCAGCGTTTACTTTTACATTACGTTGACCAAGAATTCCATGCACTATTTTTAAATAAATTTAGCTCTGCAAAGACTGCAAGATATGAAAATGAAAAAATGAAAAATATAATTACTTACTAATAGGAGTAAGTTTTCTATACCTCTCATTATAAGGACAACCAATGTAACCTTTTCCTCTAGTCAATAATTCATATGTATTATAACTCGCAGCACGAGATGAATATTTTGCACCACCTATTTTAAAAAAAATTTTTTTTACTAATTACCGTTAGCATGCAATAATTAGTGAGAGAATTTAAATTAACTTACGCTTTTGTAAAAGTTCACCAACAACCTTATCACCAGTTAATATAACCCAATATTGCTGACCCATATGAATACCATAAATATCGCCTAAACTTCTTGCCCATTCTGTAAGTCTATTTAGATTAAATTAATTAAGTTATCCAATAAATTCTTATTTAAAATTATTATTACTTACTTCTTATGTGGTTCACGTCCAATTTGAAAAAAGTGACCTATAAAAATTTTTAAAAAAAATTTCAAACGGTAATAATAAATATATTTTCAAACAATCTTTTAAAAGAAGAATGCATTGTATATTAAAAATGTCTTTTCAAATATAAAATCTATAATTATTTATACTTACCGAAATAAAATAAGCTTCCGGGTGGAGATGGAAGTTTTTTAAGGCCACGTGGTGTACTTGATCTAAAGATGTAATACCATGCAAGAAATGCTAGCAAAAAATAAAGCGGATACATTTTTTTTTTTTTTTTAAATTAAATTTCCCTGAAGAAGGTACGTATGTGAGAAAACTTTTGGTATATATGTATGTATGTAATCTCAAATTGGTTAGGTCGGTTTTATTTGGAAGTTAACGTAAATTATGCAAACATAACGATAAGGTATTAAGAAATTTAAACTTTTAAAATCTATTTACAACTGCTATGTTTTTTCAGGTTGGGGGTTCGTATTATGGCGCACTAAGTATGTACGTATTTGTATTATATTACTGCATCCTTGCTCCGGATATTATCCAAATGAAGAAATATATAATAAAAATTAAATATCGGCATAATACCTACACTATTATATCGAATTTATGTAATATTCTTTTGATGCTGATAAATCAAATAACTATACTACCGGTAGACAATCAAGGCTTCGACAAAATCATGTTCTCTTATTGTGAGACCCAAAAACGTAATTGATCCTGGTCACCAAATAAAGCTCTTAATTACGTCATATCCCAGTCTTTCGGACATGACGATTCAATATCTAATTAGTGGGATCCCTTAGAGATGGCCACCTGTATTTATACCTACTACATATTATGTTTATTAAACGACCTAAAGTATCTATGTTACCTAAATGACCCAAAGTATCTAAAAGACCTATAGCAACTTTCTCTCCAATACAGCAATAAAACCTTTATGACCTATCGATTATATAAGACTTATAGTTCCTAATGAACCTTTAGGACATTTCGGTCTAATAAATCGTATATCTGGTTATACTATAAGTGATTGTAGTAAAACCATTCTTAAGTAAATACGTTGATTGTTAAGTATCCCCTGCAATTTGACTGGTTGTCTTGACGTGCCGGGTTCGTTTTGTGTTATATAACCATTAATTGTCCCAACATACTGTTGACGTTATAATTTAGGGAGTATCTTGTAGAATAGTGCTGTAGCTGAAACCGAATCACCCGAACCACTAGCTAAATTCATCACGCCTATTTCGACAAAACCCCAGACGTTTCATGAATAATTGAAACGACTGAGCGACAGACTCTCCGACTTCAATCCCCTTTCAATATTAAACCATCTTCCAAATTTGGATACAGTCATTTACTGCATGTTTTTAAGCCTCAGACGTACAAATTCTTGTTTTAAATTCCTATTATTTTGTTCCGAATTTTGCGTACTTCATATCCTTGTTTACAATTATACTGTTAAAACCTTTTCTATTCTTCATATTAACGTTTTAAAATATGGTAGTAATAGTAAGACAAATTTCTTACAAATAGTACGCATTTTGGAAAGGGCGATGAACTTACAATTTGAGTATATTTTCCTTGTTTCTGCGCTTTACAATTTTGAATTACTCCATTACTTCACAATATCTAATTTAACTCATAAATCTCAAATTCCATAAATTCCATAAATGTAATTTATGCAACTTATGTAACTTTTATTCCTGTGACCTGTGGTCACGTTATACAGTATATTGTTCTAACTACTTTTCGGGTCTCACAATATAATTTTAATTATAACAATACTGTATCGAAGACTTTTTTTTTTATTAAATAAAATAGCTAATTCTTTTATACAGTTATTAATATTAATTTATATCTTTAATTTACATTGGTTTAATAACGAATTACGATAATTAATAATTAAAATATTAGTATTTAGTATTATAAACAACTTTAAATTTTAAATTTTTTGTTCGATTTCATTTTTATATTAACCAAAAGCTCGCTATGCGGTCCTGAAAATCGGGATCCCGACAATTCACCAACAAACATTTTCCACAACAGCTAAGGGTTGGCCCGATTTAGGGTTAAGGTTGGCCTGATTTGGGGTTAGGATTGGCTGAATTCTAGGTGTCAGTGAAAAATGATTGTTAGGAGAATTTTAGTATGATACTTGCCTGAAAATCAGATTCGGGAATCTGATTTCGAGACGTAATATTTTTAACCGAGAAATTTAAAATATATCAAAAGAAGTTACAAATTTATTATTAATATAACTCCATTAAAAATTGCCTGAATAGCTTTATTATATCAATATAATATAAGGAGGACCCGACATATTCACTGATTGGTAAGGTTTTACAAAAATTATAAGGCAAAAATAAGCAAACTAATTACTATAAAAGGGGGTCGTCTAAAGCGGAGCAAATTACGTAGATATTTGGCCAACAAATTATAGAATTTTGATGATCGCCGGCGAAGCAAAACAAGAAAGAAAAGTGAAAATAGAAAAAACGGCGGTCTAAAACTACTTTGGGTAAGTTAAGTAAAAATGTAGAGAAGGCGATATAAGATCGCCACTGCGCCAAAATCAAATTCTGGAATTAGTAATAACACCTCTAAAATAGTAATCGATACAACTTACCATATTTAGTCTTGTCTAAGCACCACTACGTATTCAAGTTATTTAGCTAAGCCAAGAGAATAATGCGACTAACATCGTACAATTAAGAGTATAATAAAATATCGTACGAGGAAGTGGTGAGAGAGAATAATCGAATGTCGTAGTAGAGAGAAATCGAGAAATAAGTCATTAGTAAACTAGAATAGATTACCTTCGCCTCATGTATTAAACCACTATAAAATGAGTAGTAATTTCACCTTTGTAAAAACAGAACTCGACGTTCAATAATAAACCTTAATAATACTTTTTTTATAAAAAGTCGATAACGAAAGTATAAGTCTTTAATCCGTTAACCAATCTAAATTTCACATAATTAAAGTCACGCTTCTGGTGAGAAATTATATAATTACTTCCTATTCCGCCCGTAACAATAGAACGGAATGAAGTCAGATATCTTTACAGGATTGGATTTTTAAACGGTGTAAAAGTTCTATTTGGTAACCCCGGAAGTATTACCAAGTCCGAGGTTACACTATTTCGTAAAATTCTTGTTTAATCTTCGGGCTTTACAAGATATTTCCTGTTTCTTGATTTTGGATCATCCGGATTCTAAAAGAATCCTAAGGATCCGGACCTCAATTTCTAGGATTTTCCAAATCCTAAGGATCCCAACCGGGATTTCTCGAATTCTAAATATTTTTCTATTATTTTTTATTTCTTTTATTTCTGTTATCATATAGTATTAAAATTTATGTATATAAGTGACTTGAATTTGCTTCAATAAAAAAATAACTTTGATAAGTTCAAAACAACGACTTGCAGAGTTAGAATAAAAACTCTGAATAAGTTCAAGTGTTAGGAACCAATACTTCGAAAATTCGAGTAGAAGTTTGATGTTATCAACTTGTCATTGTTAAAATATCGCAATTGTTAAACCCCGCCCCCGTAATAATCATAAATCAATCAGAATAAGGCCAAATCATAAATCAATTACCCCTAATATAGTTCCATGGATAAACCCATCGCTTAACGATTCTCATTGTTAAAATTAATAACCAATCGTAAAAGAAGACCAGATAACGTGCCACGTGACCCAAAATATTGATATAAAGTTAAGGATAATCAGAACGAAAACAACCGGAATCAAAAGAATCAAGAATCAAAGGACACTTATATAAAGAAATCCACCCTGCAATCCTAAAACCCGGACCAAATCCTCCACGACCTCTTTCAGCACCAACTTAGGGTTGATTGTTGGATTTGTAGTGTTTGTTTGTTGAACTACGAACCTAGGTGTGACCAAGAACTTCCGGACGAGTTCCGTGCCAGAACCGGTTCACACCTTCTCAATATCCGGAATTCGTCAGGGGTTTCGTAATCGTCAAGGGTTTCGTCAATCGTCAGGGTTTGTCAATCGCCAAGGGTTTCGTCAGATGAAACCATAGCGAAACCATTTCGTCATAACAAAAATATTTTCGTCAGGCATCATTAATTTGGGCAAATTGCAAAACTCAGTTGAATTCTTTGTATATTCAAAAGATATTTTAAAATTGCAGTAGTTTCCATCCTAGTTATTATATATGTAAATATATTAACTATTTTAGAATAAATTTTATCTTAGTGACTTAAATTCCAAAACAATGAATTCGATAAAATAATTTAAATTTTGAATTATTTAACAGCTCGGGTACATTTAAGAATGCTATTACAATCAAATATTTATTTGAAATCTAATATAATTTCATTCCGACGTACGACATATTAAGTTCAAGAAGGCAAATTCAGTATTCCTTTTATTCGTCCAAAATAACTTAGCAATTCTTGTTACAGAGAATAACAAAACACTGTTTTAAAACTTTAAACTTTAAAACTTGAAATCGAAAAATAATGTAGAATTTTGACAATCATGATTGGACGAAAAGTATTTAATCTTATATAATAAGTCGTGTTACATAAAAAACATGAAAAATGTATACAATAATAAGTTAATCATAACATTTAATGTTACGCAGTAATCGTTGGGTATTACAATATTACATAGAAAAACTTCGTTTCCAGCTTATACGTACACACAAGGAGAATATTACATTTTGCATAGATGTTTTTTTATGTAACCGTGATATACTTTCTGAACTGCACAAATTTACAGAAATAGATTTATATTTAATCATGTTCAAACCTTTCGTCTTTTTTAATATTCGAAAAACAATATGGGTAATAAAACATCGACTGAATTAAACGACCTGGGATACCATTATTTACATGGAAAAGGCGTTGAAAAAGATGAATATAAAGCATTCATTTATTATCAAAAATCAGCAGATATGGGAAATACTAACGCAATATATAACCTTGGATATTGTTATCGACACGGGATAGGGGTTGAAAAAGATGAATATAAGGCATTCGTTCATTATCAAAAATCAGCAGAGATGGGAAATTCTAGTGCACTAAGTGAACTTGGATACTGTTATCATCATGGAATAGGGGTTGAAAAAGATGAACATAAAGCATTCGTTCATTATCAAAATTCTGCTGAGATGGGAAATTCTAGTGCAATAAGTGAACTTGGATACTGTTATCATAATGGAATAGGGGTTGAAAAAGATGAACATAAGGCATTCATTTATTATCAAAAATCTGCAGAGATGGGAAATGCTAGTGCAATAAATGGTCTTGGATATTGTTATCAACACGGAATAGGG